TTCATTATTCTACTTCTTTTCCAATATTTCGTACATTTTGCAAAGATATTCCAAGAGGAATGTAGTAGCTATTGTTCATATTATAATTAATAGTTTTTTGAACTCTAAAGTGGTGAGCAAGTGAAGTGGGTTGTTTTAAACTGTAGGCAAACTAAAAACGCATATAAATCTAAACCTAGAAAGGACTGTTTATTCTTACATAGTCTGAATTACAAGCTTACCTACTTACTTAAGCCTGTTACCTACAATCGAGCATAGGCTGCCGATCAGCATTCTCCAACCTACCCTATCTTGGGCCTTCCTTTCCAATTCTATCCAACTCATATTAATTCTTTCGATGTGTGTGCTTCCGATTTCCGGTACAATGTGTTCTTTAGTCTTCCTCTTTTCCTTTGGTCTCGGGGATTGCAATCAACTCTGTCCTGAACCTAACTTTCTAGTTTTACGTACGCCTAATCCTTCTCCTTTATGGACCGACAGTAACCTTAGAAGGGCTCAAGACAGAGTTTCTTTAACTGTGTAACAACACCCAAAACCAGGTACAACATAATTTCAAGTTAGTAAGCTAATGATCACATCGTTATTTGACGGGTAAATTAAACCTCCCTAACGCATTGCATAAAATGGATGGCTATCTGGATTCATTAGCTCAGTGGATAAGACAATGGTGTTTGAAACCAATAATACTGGGTTCAAGTCCCAGAGTAAACATCAACTTCCGAAATACAGGTTCATACAGCTGACAAGTTCCAAGTAGAAAGAAATTCATGTCTTGGATTTCACTATCAGTCATATTCTATATATTCTTCCGATTACAGTTATAGAGATTGTTGTTTTTACACATACTGATCGTTGAATCAATCATTGTTAGATAACCATTAGAGATCTGAAAGCACTGGACGGCCGTTTTGTCCTAGCAGACGTAGCAGGAGTCGTGGATACGCGCTACTGATGAGTCCCATACCGGGATGAAATGGCTGTCCAATGTTTCCAGGTTTCTACTGGTTGTCTAACAATGATTGATTCATGATTTCTATGTGCATACTATATATAATATATAGTAACAATATTTTGTAAACATTTGCTTGATTGAATGATTTCTCCCCGTTTTGAATGTGGGTTGTAAGCTTGTGGCAGTCAATATAAATGTTCATTCATGTGTACTTAATTTTTATTTTAAGTAAACAATCAATTCTATTAAATAGAATTGATTGAAGCAGAAATGATTGTTTTACAGTATTCATTCATTCTATTAAAACAATCATGTAGAAAATGATTTTTTTGCTAATTTTTTATTTTTTTTGAAAAAAAAACGAAGAATAAAACGGAAATTAACATTTTAAATGAACAAATATTTAAACAAAATAAAAAATAAAATTGAATACCACGTTTTTATTTTTCTCCTTTCTGTTGTCTATGGCTGTTTAAAATCTGTCTCTTTCTCTCTGTTTCTCGTCAACTGATATTAACGGTCGAAAACATGTTTTGTTTTGATTAGTAGTTAATGTGAGTATATATAAAAACATTAAAATCTTGTTATAATATATCAATTTAGTTCAATTATCAATTTTAGTTTGTTTGCTTTTTTGTTTTTTGTTTGAAAGGAAATGTTCATTCATAATATTCAACGGATATATGGATGAATTGTTTAGTAAAACAAATAAACATCAGTTAGGAATAGGAGAATAAATAATAATAATAATAATAATAATAAATAATTTTTATTTATTATGTGTAGTAAAAGAAATTATTTTATAAAATACATCATGAAAAGATTGAGTGATATGTTGTTTGTTGTTTCTTTTGTAAAGTAAATGTTCAATTTTGAAGATTGAATTTTGATTATAATTAACAAGGGAAGTAAATTCCTTTTTTCTTTACGGGGTTGTGAACATTGTTAAGTTACACATTTTTTTGAAACCATGAATTGATCAATGACAGACAACTATTAGAAACCTGGAAACATTGGAAGGCCGTTTATGTCCTGGTATGGGACTACTCATCAGCGTTGTGCATCCACGACTCCTGAACCCTGAAGGATTCGAACCCACGACCCTTGTTATTGTGCACGAACGCCTAACCTCTGGACCACTGAGCCAGTATCTAACTTCAGTCAATTCATGGTTTCAAAAATGTGTAACTTAACAATCTTCACAACCTCGTAATGCAAATTACCTGTGCTCACTAGTGACTAGCTTCGTGAGGAATCTTCTCCGACTTCTAGTGGGAAGACGTGACCAGTGAAGTTAAACCTGTTCGGGTGTACACAGTAACTACCGAAGACTGTGTAAGAGGTTGTGCAGTTCCGTGATTTGATCAAGTTAGACACTAACACGGTTAGATATCGGCTCAGTGGTCCGATGGTTAGGCATTCGCTCACAATACCGAAGGTTCTGGGTTCGAATCCTGTGAGGTGCTGGAGTCGTGGGTGTGCACTGCCACTGATGAGTCCCATACCAGGCCTTAACGGCCGTCCAGTAATTCCAGGTTTCTAATGGTGGTCTAACATTGATCGATTCATAGTTTCAAACATGTGAAATTTTTTTCTCTTGATATAATGAAACTAGTTTAATGATTGACTGTGTGCTGGTTGTACAACATAGTGAGTGTTCAGTGTGAGACATTCAATCTTAGTAATTAACTGATTATCTCATGGAAGCCTAATTTTAAAAACTGACTGGCTTTTTTGCCATTATACCATGTCTTCTCTTATTTTCTAATTTTCTGAAGTACTCATGACCGGGCATACTTTTCGAATCATATCTTCGAACTCCTAATCTTTTCTGTGACCACTTATACTTATTCTGCATCTATTAGAATGGGATTTGATTGGACAGTTGCATCTTTATGTACTAATGTAGTTCTATGGAGTTCTATGTTGTAGCTGACTGACTGAATGATGACATGTTTTATTTCTATCACTTTTATAATCCTAAACTTATTGACGAACTTTTGTGAAGAACCAGTGTTTGTCTTAAGATGAACAAATTTGATCAAGTTCCCATTTCATGTTTCTGACTTTCATCCTCACCAATTTATGTGTATATGTGGTGTAGTGAAGGAGAACACAGGTGAGGGCAACCGAATCGTATTTATCGCAAATTACAGAGTTACTCAGTAAAATAGGAAAACCATATCGTAAATCGTTCATTTGCAAATCTTCAATCCATTGTCTGACATTTCACTATTCATGCGTTTCATACAAATTCCATTGTGTTTCCACTCTTCCTTCCTCTTGATCTTCCCTCATCTTCTGCTGCCAGACATTACGTTTTCACTCGCTTCATTTACTACTTATAAGTAGCGCGCACCACAGTGGAATCATTTACAATAGAAAAAAACAGAAACTGAAGTTTCTAATCTAATCTTAAAGTGAATTCCATAACAATCGAGATCAAAAGGTCAATATATTTTCAACAGTTCAACAGTTCGTTATCTACTTGAGAGTAGACACAAAAATTGATATTTGAATATTGTTCAAACTAATTAATAATCAAACAATTTTGAATTAATTACATTTCACCAAGGTCATTGCGAATAAAAAATTAAGTCATTGACATACAAAAATAGATACATATTTATTTTCAATTATCTATTTATGTAATATATTTTATTTCATATTCTCGATGATGAATTTCTTCTCAGTCTTTCAGAAGTGATTTTTGTGTGCTTTACTCACTTTAATCTGCTTAATCTGTTCAAATTTCTTTGCCGGTTTACTGTTGTGATGACATAACTTTTAACAATAGTCACACTGTTTCACTTTATCGAAATTTATTACGATATTCTTTGAAAATTTTGCACACTATTCAAACATTATTAGAATTCTTTCATACTGATTTTTACCCCTCTAATCATGAATTGATCATTGCTAGACCACCATTAGAAACCTGGAAGCAATGGATGGTTGTTTCGTCCTGGTATAGGACTCTTCAGCAGTGTTCATCTGTTTCATGGTCCCTTGATTTCACTGGAATTTAACAATATCTACAACTGTAGGGTTCGTCACTAGGTACTCTTGAAGCTAATAGGAGTTCAACTTGGTCGATAAACGCAAACGAGACAATGAACCAGCGTCCAGATAGGCTATCTTGAATCCCAAGCTGAAGATAAAAGGCTTTGTAAGCGTAGAAAGTATATTCTACAAAGACCCAGCAATCACAATACAATCAAGCACACAACTCTCATTTATTTATACATTGTAGAAACGTCATTGGGACAGTTACAAAAATAGCACACTAAAATACACAGAAACCAATCACAGCCATAGATTTTCCTGGTGGGAAATGAAATCTCAAGGTCAACTGATCAGCCCATGCTGGCCAACGTGAAATCCAAAATAAGGCATTTATCAAGCGAGTTTTGGAGATCTAACATCCCCAACAACAACACTATGATGAAAAGTATAATATACTCAAGAGTGACTGGCGTCGTGAGGAAGTTCCTCTGAGTTCTAGTGATAAGTCGTGATCAGTGAGGTTCAACCTTGTCGGAAGAGAAGGTAGTGCTCACTGAAGATGGTAGATGAGGTCGCTCAATACCATGGATTCATTCGTTAGATATTAACACTGCTGGTCCAGAGAACAGGTGTTCTCACGAGAGTCAAAAGGTCGTAGGTTCGAATCGTGCTTGTGGGGTCGTAGATACATACTACTGATGAATCCAATACCCAGACTTGACGCCCACCCAGTGCTTATAGGTTTCTAATGATGGTCTAACATTGATTGATTCATTATTTTACTGAAAATCAACAATCTCCACAACCATAAGGTTGAATATTACCATTGAAATCATCAATAGTACTCGTTTTTAACTCATAAACCATTAAACAGAAACCATGACATGTGCAAATGCACTAAACGAAATGTATTGGTGTCCATTACAATGTTCAGATTAAGTTCTCAGTATAAATGATATTCATTAGTAAAAACGTCTTCAAATTCATTTTCCTTGCTCAATCATCTTTTTTAAAAAAAAATTTGATTTATTTCCTGTTACAGGTTGATGCAGATGAATTAATTCCAGTTTGTGGTGTAGGTCGTCAAAATACAAATGTTCTCGGTGCATTTATTATTGGACCTCAAACTGTTCTCATTACTTTAGGCGGTATTGCATTCATTATTGGCTTCTTATGTTTATTACCATGTTTTCGTAAACGTAAATGTTTTCATTGGTCACATGATCATGTGAATGGTAATCAGTCAACAAGTCAACCAGCACCTTTTCCTAAACAACAACAACAACATTATCATTATGGAATCGACAATGCACAAACTGTTGACAATAATTTTGCATTTACTACACGACCTGTGCTCCACAAAGCTCGTCACCTTCATCCTCCTCATCATCATCAACAACAACAACCTCTACCTCTGAATAATCATCATTCACCTCATTATCAAATGAATTCACAATCACTTAATAATCATTCGTCAACTCAACGTTGCTATCCAACTTATCCGCATCACCAATTCTGGCCTACAACAACCATGTCGCCACCATCCTATTCTTCTGCATCCTCCTGTGATCCAATGGAATTTCGTATTGGTCTATTCTGTTTTCTTTATTTAATCCCATTGATTTGTATGAATGCTTGTGATTTATATGAATATTTATATCGTGATACATGGTTAAGTGTTCCCGGTTATCGACAACAACTCCCTGACACTAGCAGTAACAATCATGATCATAATCGTAAATTAACAAGTAATCAATATGATAACATTTATCGGACAGGAAATTATCCAGAGAAAATCAATTTTGCATCATATTTATGGAATGCGAATGAGGTGTATGGTCCAAATCCAGAATTATTTATGTTACGTATATTTATGTCATTAGTCACTGGATTCACTTGTAGTTTATGGATGTGGACTGTGAAAGGTTGTTGTTGTTGTTGTTCTACTTCTTCTTCAACTTTTTTCAACTATGATTGTTGTTTATGTGTAACAAATAACATTGGAACATTGAAACAAAAAAGGCGGCAAAATCAAATTTTGTTACAAAATTCAAAATTCTTCGAATTAACTAAACAAAACTATTTACATTCAAATGATAAAATTAATCATTATAATAATATAATACATAAATCTAAATTTACACGAACACCTGAAGGCACTACTTATACATTGCATCCATATGCCATTTATCAACATACAAAAACACCAGACAATTATCATTCACAGCCATTAGACATAGATGGACAATTGGAGCATCATCGATTGCCAATCATTGGTTGTTTAAATAGTACTATTACTAATCTTGATCGAAAAAATCCTACCAATCTACCAGGTCTATTGACTAAAGGTCAATTAAGTCAATTAGATACAAGTTTTGTGCCACGGGATTGTGAACATTCAACTGCTACTACACCAGGTTATTATAGTCATGCCAAAATTAGTCCCAATATGATTATTGATTCAATGAGTGAAGATGCATCAGCGTCATCGATCCCACCTCCATTACCTCCATCCAATAATCGACCACCACGTTTACCAGCACGTGGTGATCCATGTGTTGGAGCATCATCTAGTCAAGTATTTGGATTTAATAATAAAATGAATATTGACAATTTAGATAATCAACTGATTAATCCTGTTGTGAACAATACCAATAATAGTAGTGAAACAGAAGATTATAGTTTAATTCAATATCAAATGACAAATTAACTAATATTAGTAGTATATATGTAACAAATAGAATAAGTAATCATTCACTAGGAAAAGGGGAATATATCATGGTGAATATTGACAATTGACAATTGAACATTGAACGTGTATATATATAGAAACAAACAAACAATATTATCTTTCATCTTTTTTTTATTTGGTTTTTTCTTCTGTTAACTCTAATTTATTTTCTCTACTAATTTCATTCTTGTTGTTATTTATGATTATTGATGCTCTTGTCCATGACGCACATATTGATTTCATTGTTGTTAGTTAGTATTATTATTATTCATGGCAATGACGAGTTCCATATGGACATGTCACAACTTCAATCATATCTTCAACTCCATCGATCCTCTTCCCAGTTGTGATCATTTAAAAAAAAGTCACTATATAGATAGGTGTACTCATTTTTTTTTCTGTTTGTTCAAAGTTAGTTCTCATATTAGGTAGAGATATGCATTTATTCAATTGGACAAAAGTATCATTATCTATTGTAGTAGTCTCAAGTATGTATTTATATTAAAACACAATGTCAATAGACAATATTTATATATAAATTCGGTTTCACAGGGTATATTTTACAATCATCCAAATGTTATTTGTTATATAATTTGTTATATATATATGCATAAACTGTAAATCTAATTGTACACAAACATTGTCTTGACAAAATATCTTTTAAAAACAAACAAACAAATGATGATTGTGTCTGTCTGTGTGTGCGTGTGGCTGACAATCATCTTAATTCAATGTACATGATGTAGTTTCGCTGACAGTGTTCAATGTTCAATATAATAGTCATTGAATCACCGCTGCATCAATTTGTGACAACTATTTTATTCAACTTTATTTATTGTTTTTTGATGACCAATTATTTGAAATTAGTCAAAAATGTTCGGAGAAGCAATCAGCAACAACAACATGAGAATCGAACAACAAATGTTATCAATGTACATATTATCTATAAACATATATACATGAATAGTTTGTGTTGAGTATTTATTTCAATGAAATGTTGTACATCACAAATGATATATATATTTCTGTTAATTAGTTAATTCATACTTAAACTAATCGATAAAACAACAATAATGATCATTTTACTCAACCTCATTTATTGATTATGATATTATTGTGTGTGTGTGTGTGTTACAGTGTTGTTTGTTTCTTCTAAATGGTGATCAATGAATAAATGAAAATGAAAGACGATACAAATTCTTTGAAAAGCATGTTCTGATTTTTATTTCGTTGCGTATTTGATTTCACTCGTTTCCATAGTGTAGGTGAGATATTCATCGAACAGGGATAATTAGTAGAGTGCAATAGTTCATTGTATTCTATATAATGTCTATGAAATAATTAATAATGTATGTATGTAGTCTACTCGTATTCGATCATTACAAATCTTCGAAATGTTGTTTGTATATGTTAAGCCAATTAAGTGTATAATACTGATGTCGGGAGCGTAGTGCTAACGGTAGTGAGTTGACTGATGTAGCAGTCAATCTTGACGATTCAAGGTAGTTGATATATGTGTAATCTATGCCTAACTGCCATCAACCTAGACATATACAATTTGTCAGTCAGTCAGTCAGATGCAACGTAGAACTTCGTACGTAAGTACATCAGTTCATGACGCCATACCACATCAGCACAGAGATATAATTGTCAATTCAAATTCAATAGTAGAAGAGGTAGTAAAGGTATTAGAAGTAATCGGAAAGGTTAGGATTACAAGATATTTAAGAAATATGATTCAGTGAGAAAAGTTTAGAAAGTCAAAACTAGAGGGGTTGAAGAATCCAGAAGACTCGGATTTGAGAGAACACAGAGAATAAATGCACCGGCGCCCTTGCAAACGGTTTCGAGCCATGTCGTTCAAGGTCTCTAACCATCGATTATTATCATCTCGCGGACCCCAACCAGGTAGTCGACAACTGCCAACATGGCTCAGTCCACTCGTCAATGGCTTCATGGATTTGTGCCATGTTTTGGTTTGGCCGCCCCTAACTTTCTTCCAACCTATTCCTACACTACAAAACAAAGCTCGTCGAGGCAGTCGGTGACTAGGCATGCGCAGCACATGTCCCAACCACCTCAACTGATCAAGTTTCATTACTTCATCTATTGATCTGCCATTCTTACCTAGCACCCGTTTCCTAATAACAGCTTTGCTCATTCGTTTGTCCCACGGTATACGAGCAATGCTTCGAAGACACCTATGATCGAATACTAGTAATCTACGAATATCTTCTACTCTAACCGGCCATGTATCATAGCCATATAGTAGGACGTAACGAACTACTGCACAGTACACTCGTCCTTTAGTCAGCAAACGGATATCTCGCCTATGCCATAAGTGACGCAGGTTGGCAAAAGCCAATCGAGCCTTCTGTATTCGACCCTGAGATTTCGTCAGACACCAGGCCATCAGCACTGATGAGACTCCTCAGATAAGTGAAGCGGTCTACACATTCGACTACTTCATTCCCTATCACTAGTTCAGGTGCCGATGCAACCCAATCTTGAAGCAACATTTTGCATTTCGAGGGTGAGAACCGCATCCCGAACATGCTTGTATTGTTGCTTAGGGTGGTCAGAAGACTCTGCATTTTGTCAGCGTCTTCACCAAGTAGGACTTATACAATTTGTTGACGTAAGGATAGGGTTGAAAAAAAATTTAAAGGAGACTGTAAACAAACACACAAGGGGTATCATTATTTCGTAAAGTGATTCATTGTTAGACTAAGCTATGCAGGAAATAGATGAGGATTATGACGTTCTCGTTCATTTGACTAAGCATAACCAACAATGAAAGACATTTTTTCCCCACTTAAAATGATCTTATATGTCCTATTCCACCACTAATTTATCGATTATTTGATCGAATCACACTGTCCCCCTTATAATATTCTCAATTACTATTGAAAAGTTTTTGTTCCCTTTGACTAATATGAGATTTTCCAATTAGAATTATGGAGGTTATTGTTTTTACACATTTGAAATCATCAATCAACCATTGTTAGATCAACATTAGAAACTTAGAAGCACCACTAAGCAGCTGTTTCGTCCTCTTATGCGACTCATCAGTAGTGCGCATCCACTACTCCTGCTACCCTCAGCATTCGAACCTAGGACCTCCAATATTGCCTACAATCGCTTAGCCTCCGGACCACTGAGCCGGAATCCAACAATATTATGAAAAATCACTCCAATATTTATTATTTGTACAAATTTAAAAGTAAAACTTAATCGTTAAACCATGAATTGTTCTTCAACTAATACTTGAAAATACACTGATCAATTGTTCAGCGATGAAATTCCCAAACTAAAACCTATAAAATACAAGTGTGTCAGCGTGAAGATTGCGAAGACGATTGGGTTTGATGGAAATCATAAACCGATCAGCTTTAGACTATCATTGAAATCCTAGAAGCATTGAACTGCCGTTTATTTCTAGCACGAGTCTAATCAGCAGTGTGTGCATCCACAACTCCATAATTTGGAGTCGAATCCAGGACTTTAAGTGTGAACCTTTAACCTCTAGACTAATCAGCCGGTATTCAGTGGTTCCAATGTCTAACTTCAATCTTCTACCGTTGTTCTCAACGGGTAACTGCCTCAAATACGACACAGTTGAACTTCACTGATTGACTTTTCATCAGAAATCTGAAAATTCTCTCTCGAAGCTAATCACTAGTGAGCCCATGGTAATTATTAGTATAGGGTTGTGAAGATTATTGAGTTGGTCTGAGTTCAATTCCCTCTTACAGAGTTGTGGATGAGCAACGCTAAAAAGTTTCATACCACAACAGAACAGTTGTCCATTTCTTTAAAATTTTCAACAATGGTCGAACATTGTTTGGTTGATGATTTCAGTGAAAGTCAAATTTGTTTAGAATACAAAAATAGCTCATTCATGATATTTTGAATGTAGCGTAGGCTAATACACCAAATTATTTAAAGTCGCTAGTTGAAAGGTGATCAATATACCGAGTTCGAACTCTAAACTACACAAAAAACGTGTTTGGTACTGGCTCCTTGTTAATGATAAATCAGTTAATGGTGAAAAAACTCCACATTTACGAATTAACAACAGAAAAATGACATTCAGACAAACGGATCATTTGGTTAATAAAACTATAAAATTGAATTTTAATAAAGTCTGATTACTTAACACTTATTAAATGAAATCATGAATCAATGATGTTAGACCACCAATAGAAACTTGGAAGCATTGGAAAGCCGTTTCGTCCTGGAATGGGACTCCTTAGCAGTATGCATCCGGAACTCTTGCTACTCTCAGGAGTCGGACCCAAAACCTTCTGTCCACAACCCTATAATGCTAATTATCATGCGCTCACTATTGACTAGTTCTGTGAGGAATCTTCTCCGAGGTCTGTTGAGAAGTCGTGACCAGTGGAGTTCAGCCTGTCCGGGTATGAAACAGTGCTCACCAAAGGCAGCGAATGAGGTTGCGGAAAAAACCGTAAATTGATTGAAGTGGGACATTAACACTGTTAGATGCCGGCTAAATAGTTACATTTCCCACTCGGAAAATCCTTACTGTCATTGGTTGATGTAGTAATTTAGTACGCCTTTTTTATGGCTCTCACAAGGACGTTTCCATCATGTATAAATAAGCTAGATTTGCCTGCTTGTCAACCTCGTATTTTCTCTTGGTGCTTGTAGAATAGATTTTCTACGCCTTTTCAAGACTTCTTTCTCTACTTAGTAGGGCCTTAGGACACTCGGATTATAGTAGCCTATCGTATCACTGCATCCATTGTGTTGGCTCCGTTTACCGACTAAGGTGAACTCGTAATAGCATTCAAGAATATCATTTGACGAGTATATCAGTAATAATAACCAATCGAGTTGAATGTACTCAGAACTGGAATTTATTGATCCGAAGTTAACAAACTGAAGATCGAATATAGTTATTTCTATTGATACTTATAATTAGATTCACAGGTGTACAATGGATGAAAAGAATT